GGGGGGGGGGGCGCGGAGAGGGAGAGAGAGAGAGAGAGAACATTGGCTCAGTGTTGATCATGTGACATTCCACATCTCGTACTACTTGTATTGCAAGACATCACTCGTTTATCAAGTTAAAACTTATCAGAAATGTTTGCTTGTCTTGCAGAACAAGATACTCGCAGTCAAGGTTCTACTGTCTATTTATTGAGACTTGCTGAGTGCCAGGCACCTTTCCAGGTTCAGGGAAAGCATGGTGAACATAATAAAGGCTAGGTTCCATAATAAAGGCTAGTTCCTATAAAACTACCTTCTATTGAACAGAAACAGCTCGAAACAGATAAGCAGACCATTTCAGATGGTGATAAATACCACAAAGACAGTACATCTGGGTAAAGATGAGGAAAGCAACTTGAGATACAATGGGGGAAAGACATCCTCTCTTGAAGTGTTCCATGTGGCTTGAGCCCTGGATGACAAGACGGACACAGCCTCGTCCAGCTCTGGAGGAAGCGGGGCCCGAGCAAGTGCACACACCTGGCGGGGAGATCAGCCCGCGTATGCTCAGGGAGCAAACAATGTGAGCCCTGTGCCTAGCACAGCGAAATGGGGGCTGATTTGGGGAGGGTAGGTCCATCTGCACACTTCACCCTCATCACGTCACACTGTGGGGTCACCACGTGCCTAAACATTGGTATCTCCTGGAAAGCTTTCAAAACTCCTGATGCCTACCTCCTCCCCCCCATCCACAGAGATTCTGTACAGTTGACCTGCGGTGTCTCCTGGATATCGGGAACCTAAAAGCTGCCCAGATCATTCTCACGTGAACATGAACGGAACTGCAGAGCAGACCTTGCAGGCCGCAGCAGGCACTTGTGCTGTGAACGCCAGCTCTCTGAACACACTCGCGTGCCATTTCCCCACCTCTCCAGGCCCAGATCTGGAAAGGACCCAATGTCTGAAAGGCCCTGAGGAGGGGATGGAACCAAGAAGATGAAGCGATCCGAGGGAAGACAGAAAGAGAATGGGCAAGAACACCAAGAGACACAGGGAACTCTAGAACATGTGACAGATTGAAGGGGCGAAAACAAACAGGTGCAGAGAGTCCCCAAGGGTCAGAGATTTGTGGGACAGGGGAAGCAGAGCCTGCCGTAACAAATGATCACAAACGCAAATCGCGCACCCTTACCTCACAGTCCTGTAGTTCAGAAGTCGAAAGTGGGTCCTACTGGGTGAAAATCAAGCCATCCGCAGGACTGGAGGCCTCCTGGAGTCCATTGCCTTCCTTTTCCGGCTCCGAGGGGCCGTCCGCTTCCTCTGCACGCAGCCCCTTCCTCAGTGTTCAAAGTCAACAGTGTTAGGCTGAGTGCTTCTCACACGTCTCTCGCTGGTTGTTCTCTCCTGCTTCTGTCCTCCGCCTTTAAGGATGTTGTGGACCTTGAACCCCTGTGGATAATCTAGAGAAATCTCCCTGTTTCGAACCCAGTGATCAGCAACCATAAGTCCATCTGCAAACTTAATTCCCCTTTGTCCTGGAAGGTAACAGATTTACAGGTTCCAGGAATTAAGACGTGGACATCTTGGGGGACTGTGACTCCATCTTCCACAGCACGAAAGCCCGTTTTACAAAACAGGTTTGGGTCATATCTGTAGCTGTAGGTCTTATGAGCACTGAGCTGAGAGCTTTGTTCCAAGATAAATACACATGTGTTTATTTGTGAGGGTTTATCACGGTGTCCAATTTGAGTGTCTCCCTGGTAAGTGTGGAGCAGAGGTGGGGAGAAGGGTGCCTCAAGGGCTGCCCAATCTTTATTATGTTTGTCTTTGAGCTGCTGCTCCCCAAAGACCTACGGCTGCCACATTGTTCTTATTGACAATAAAACTAATGACAGCGTCTTTTTGCGTGTTTTCTTTGAGTACGTCTCTGTGTCCCTGAGAAACCCTCGCTGTCCAACCCAGTGGTATTCAGTGTGTCTGAGACTGGGTACATCTGTGGCCTCTGCATTATGTGAACGCCTCTGTCCGTGGGGAATTTGGAAGTGATGGGTGAGCAGACAGGTCTGTACAACAGTGTGTGCGAGCACACTCGTGGACAGATGTTTACTTCCCCACAAACCCTGCAGGGCAGGCAGACAGACAGGCCTCCCGTGAGAGCGGCAGAGGAACTAGCAGGTGGAGGGCGTGGGAAGAGAGGAGAGGAGGGAAGAGCCAGGAGATGGATGAGAGGGGAGGGAGAGGAAAGATCAGAGGGAAGATTTTGGAAAGCAGAGGGGAGGTTTTGGGGATCTCAAATGAAACAGAGGCAGCGGGGCGTCACAGCTAGGGCACAGATCAGGGCTGGCTACGGCCCCGCTTCTGCTTATTCCCGGCCTTTGTGACCTTGGCAAGGCCAGCTCTCTGGGCCACTGTTTACCAAGAGACTTGAAATAGATGAACCCTAAGTACACCCCAAAGAAGGGTGAAAAGTGGAAATAAAAACCCACACCGGGAAAAACTGAAAGAAAGAACTAGAGACAGGTGGGGAGAGAGTAGAAGTAGGGGAGGCCCAGCCAGACGTAGAACTGACTCCCGGAGACCTGAGCGGGGGCGCCTGCTCCCCCCTCCCTTACCCCACAGCTTCAGAGGGTTCTTAAACCCTTAATAGGTAAGGCAGCAAGCAGGGAGGAAGGAAAGACTCACCAGCAGTGACAGCACACACCAGACCAAGGCCTGGATCCTCGCTCCCGCCTCCAACTCCGGGGAAGTGGGTGTGCCGGCCGCCTGGAGTGACTCACACCCCGGCGATGTGGGCGCACACGCCGAAAGCGAGCCCGGGCGCTCTGCCCACCGGCTCAGCACAGGCCCGGGGCGGATATGAGATTGGGGCGCCGGAGGGGTGACAAGGAGGCGACCCCCGCCCCCACGGTGCGGCCTTGCCCCCAGAGCGCCCCCTCCCGAGCACCCGCTCGCCCCGAGGACCCGGGCGCGCGCGTCCCCCGCCCTCCTCCCCCAGACCCGAGCTGGGAAGCTGGAGAACCAGGTGAGCTGTTGCGCAAGGCCCGGTGTTTACCTGCCGCGGGGGCCTCCTCCTCCCTATAAAGCCTGGCGCGGCGGGGAGGGCGGCGGAGGCCGCCACTGCTCGGAGAGGGGCCACAGCGCGCCCGAAGGTTCATGCGCCGGGCGGGGACAGGGCCCCGCGCTCGGCTCGCAGCAGGCGCGGCCCGCGGGCGGGGGTCGCGCTTCCCATGGAGGCGCCCGAGCTGGGCCCGGGGCTGGTGCAGCGTCTGGAGCAGCTGGCGACGTGCCCGCTGTGCGGGGGCCCCTTCGAGGACCCGGTGCTGCTGGCGTGCGAGCACAGCTTCTGCCGCGCGTGCCTGGCCCGCCGCTGGGGCGCCCCTCCGGCCGCCGGCGACCCGGCGCCCGCCCCCGCCTGCCCCCGCTGCGGCCAGCCGTGCCCCCGCCGCAGCCTGAGGTCTAACGTGCGGCTGGCGGTGGAGGTG